CCCAGTGCATAGTTCACTGCGACTCCCTAGATCTTCTTAGCAGAGTTCACTGAGACTCCCTAGAACCCATGTGCATAGTTCACTGCAACTCCCTAGAACCCCTGTGCATAGTTCACTGCAACTCCCTAGAACCCCTGTGCATAGTTTACTGCAACTCCCTAGAACCCCTGTGCATAGTTTACTGCAACTCCCTAGAAACCCATGTGCATAGTTCACTGCGACTCCCTAGATCTTCTTAGCAGAGTTCACTGAGACTCCCTAGAAACCCTGTGCATAGTTCACTGGACTCCTTAGAAACTCAGTGCATAGTTAAATGTGACTCCCTAGGAGCACAGTGTATGGTTCAATGTGACTCTTTGGGACTCCAGTGTGAAGTCCCAAGAATCCCTGAGAAAGTTAATTAATAATGCCTCGACATTTGTCATTAATGTCAAATTAGAAAGCATAAGCGACAATGTCTTTCACATTGTGCAATGATTTATAATAATAAATTTATAATAATAACTTTATTAAAGTTCAGAAAATAGACATGTACATGTACAAGAAGACAATCATCTGCATGTAATACTTCTGTATAATCAAAGATACTTTTGTAATTTTATGAATATTATACTATTGTGGGTCAAAAGTCAAAATGTACAAAATATGATACAGATTTCATCAATGGGAAAAATACTAGACATAACTTTGAAGTGCATTCCTAGAAAACCTAAAGACAGTGTTCACGTGATCAAATTGTGATCAAGTTATTTTAATTCTTATTAAGAATGACTGAGACAGTTTACTCAAGCATGCTCAAATCAAATGTGTATATACAGCTGGCAATTTTGCTGACCTGAGTCATAGTGCCCCGATAAAATGCTGTTGTGTAAACGCAGCAATTTTATGAATGTCAGATTTTACTGTTCACATGTACATGCAGGCTGATAAGATTTGTCTTAAATGTTGTCTAAGTAAATTGGTCTTAAGATAGGTTGAGGTATACGCTTATCTGAATATTGTGTTGGATATAATATCTATTCTATTCTGTATACACTGCGACCTGTAAAAACATAAAGCAAGGTCATTTGGACAAGGCACATTATTCATATGTAAATACTTTGCTTACTCAACCAAGTGGTTTGGTCAAATAGCACAAGAATGGTACTCTGATTGAGGGAGTGATTTTCAAACATTTGTGATTCAATAAGTACTATTACACTATCATCATGCTAATGCCACATTGTATCTAACGACTCATCAAGTAAAAACAATTCAGACAAAATAGTTACCACTTTTAGAGCGAGTTTCATAAGAATGAAGATTTAATTTATTGTCAACTGCACCTGCTGTACATGCATACCACAAGGTACAGAGCAAACAGTATACTGTAAAATACTTTATTTTCGCTGAAGGAGTGATTCAGGGAAAATAAAATCCAGCAAATATACCTTTTTTCCTATATTTTACATTCAGACTCACCAAAAATCAGTGAAAATAAATTCTATACAATTAAGGTAGAGATGCAGTTTATTCGGCTTGCTTTTTAATTGAGTAATTAGACAATGAAGATGGTATTATATATCCAACATGTTATATGTTTTCTGAAAGCTTATTATACAAACTTTGTAAAACTTGTCTTTATTTTAAATATCCAGAATGCGTTTTTGATTTTGGGTCAAAAA